CATACAGTTTAAACAAAAAAAAAAAAACTGAAGCACATATTTTTTTAAACCTTGACTATTTTTGGACCCTTTTTGAACCATGCCTACAGTAATATAATAACCTATTGCGATCACACTGGCCATTCATATGCTGTTATTTGATTTCTGTTTTAATCTAGTAACATATCCTGGATTTTGTATACTCTGATGCTACTTAATGCTGAATATTCCTTTTGTTATTTATGCTGATTGTTTCATTGTAAAGCGAAAAATAAAACAGAAAAAGCTCACACGAGTCACAGACATACTCACCGAGAGTTGGATCAGGCATCATTGCAGGACTCCACCAATCTCCCATGTCAACATTCAGCCTGGATGGGATTTCCGGGGTGTCCTGCTCATCTGAGCGAGATGTAAAGCTGGTTCAGGAGTGAGCGGGGCAGAGGCAGAGACCAGCACTTGGCCAACACTCCTGAAACAGAAGAGACGGCACGCTGGATTACACAGCAGAAGGCCTCAGACGCCGGATTAAACATGGAAAAACCAATGCAGGATTATCAGTGGGTGGCGAAGGGGGTGGAGTCAATGATCAGAGCAGGAAAAACACAGCACAGCAAGAATGAAGTGTATATCCACTATATAGCTGGATAGGCAGGTGAATAGAGGTGAATTTATTTATTTATTTTTTATTTAAAAAGATTTATTTCAAAAATAAACAGAAACAAAAAATTATATATATTATATATATATATATATATATATATATATATATATATATATATATATATATATATATATATTATATATATATATATATATATATATATATATATATATATGTGTGTGTGTGTGTGTGTGTTTGTGTGTGTGTGTGTGTGTATAAACAAACATACAAATAAATATATATATATATATATATATATATATATATATATATATATATATATATATATATATATATGTTACACACACACACACACACACACACACACACACACACACACACACACACACACACACACACACACACACACATTTATATATATTTGGGATATTCAGACATTCTCCTTAATAATATAATTTCAGAAAAGTTTTCTTTGCAAATTCTAAATAGGGAAATCATATTAGCAGCAAATGAGTAAAGTACAACATGTTCACAGTGAATTAGATAGTGTTAATGTTGTTTTTAAGTCATACTTGCATGCTAATTCCGATCGAATATTCAGAATAAAAAGTAAACAATATAGACACTGCTAACCAACTTTACCTCCATCGAAACGACACGTAAAGAAAGTTAGTCAGCTTGTTTGTCTCCTATCATTAGATAGCAAGAGGTTCGCAGGGTAACAAACTAAACTTTAACACATTGTATTGTATTGCACATGACATTTCACTGTGTCTGCACTATTTAGACGATTGCAAAACTCACCAAAGTATTACTTATTTATGTTTCACATTAAGTTAGTCAGCTTGTTTGTTTCCTATCACTAGATAGCAAGAGGTTAGCAGGGTAACAAACTAAACTTTAACACATTGTATTGTGTTGTACATGACATTTCACTGTGTCTGCACGACTTCAAAACTCACCTCTTCTCACCAAACTATTATTTATGCTTCACATTAATTCAGTTTCAATACACACGCAATAGATTGCCATCTACATAAGCAGCATTTTAGCCATATGAGGTAACGTTAAAGTTGGTTTAATATTCACACATTCGGAGTTTTTCCTTGTTAATATCATTTCAGAAAAGCATTGTTAGCAAATTTTAAACAGTGAACACATAATTATATGTGAATTCAGTACGAACATTTAAAGTACAATGGGTAAACAATATAGGGAGCCTGTCACAAGTTGTCACTGAACGAATGTGCGAATTTAAAATCATCTTTACCGTTAACGTTAACGTTACCTCAATCCAAACTCACTCCTTTACATTACAGTAGGTTTATTTACGCTTCACACAAATTTGTGTTTAACGTTAGTGTAAACACATGCGGAATACGCCATGGATTGTCATCCACCTATACAGCATTTCGATTTGAACCTAACGTTAGACATGTCGCCTAAGTAGGCAGCATACGATATTAGAGACACAACCAGTTTCAACTTTAGCACCGCAGCTAAAATAACACACACACACACAGGTTCACTTACATCAGCCGCTGATCCTCGGATCCAAACACCGTCAGACGAGCATATGTCGTCACGGTGTTTATCGGACAGATTAGTGAGTGTGTGCTTGAGTGTGAAGACTGTAGTTTCGTACACCTGCCCTCAGGCACTGAAGATGTTTGGATGATTTGAACGGTCTTCAAAATAAACAAGCGCGACGTTCATTGGTCGGTTTGTTGTCAAGCAACCAGCATCTCGCCATTTCATTGGCTGAATCGCGACTTCTACCTGTCTGTAACTACATGCAACAGGTGTTCACCGTCTGCCTGCTGGAAAAGAGTAAAAGTATTTGGAAAATAAATGAATAAATTAATTAGTTAATGGCTGTTTGTTTATTTAAACGTAGCATTTCGGGTTTTTATTTATTATCTGTTTAGCCTATCAGTCTACTGGGGACCTATTATGCAAAAATCCCTTTAATGAGGGGTTTAAACACAGTTGTGTGGCAACAGACTGTAAATATAACCAGTTTCTAATGGTAAACTTGAATTAATTCAATGTTTTATTATCAGACTTGATCAAACAGTCTGCAGAAACACTTGGATTGACATTCTCCCTTTGTATGATGTCATCAGAGGGGGAAAGCCCCGCCCACTAGTGACCATCTCTCCCTCATCAGCATAGGACATTACTCTTGGGCTGCGTCCGAAACCGCCTACTACTCAGTAGGTACTGCATTTGAATTTAACCGTACTACTCGGCCGTTAGAAAAGTACGTTCTATACAGTATGAATGTGAAAAGTATGAATGGAATTCGGACGTACTACATCCGCCATTTTGACATGGTCACGTGACCTACCTGCGTCAGTTGCGTCGATTTACTTCCATTCATAAATTCGCTCACGGGGCATCATGGGATAGCGCAGCATGCATGGGATGCGGACTCCGGAATCTCGCCGGAAGTAGTAAGTCATCCGGGTACTTCTCGCATACTGATTTTCGAATTCTATGAATTCGGACATACTACTCGGCTCGCATACTGATTTTGGCGTACTATATAGTATGGAAGTATGCGGATTCGGACGCAGCCTTGTTTTTGAATCTGCCACTACGCTGACTTGCAGGCATTTGTAGCTCCGCCCTCTTTTAAAGAGACCGCAATCTCATTTACATTTAAAGCGACAGTCACCAAAACACCACAATTAGCATCAAAACCTAAAAGATGCTGTTTTTAAGAGTTACAAAACACTATTTGTGTGGTATTTTGGGCTACAATTGTCACATACACACATAGGGACACCAGAGACTCATTTAACATCTTGTTAAAAGGAGCATAATAGGTCCCCTTTAAAGAGTAATCTCCGTGTTACAGTTGATAAGTGTGTTTATTGATAGTCAAAATAAGCAGGATCACATGGTTTGCAGCATTTTAATATTTTTCTTTGCTTTTTTTACTCAAAAGTGGGATAAAATGTATTAATGTAATAATATAACGTGCCACAGCAAATACAGGTAGAGCACAGATTAATTTTATTAAACCATAAAGCACAAACAAAATTTTAAAAAGCAGGTAAAATGTTCAAAAATGATGCTCAAACATTAAAAAATAAGAGGTAAAGTTAGCACCCCATAGCAGACTCTCCATGAAAGACTATATGTGTTTAAATGTCTCTTTTTGTGTGAATATTTGTTATAGTACTACATGTTTTCTGCTATTGCTTATATTTCAACGAAACAGAATACAATCCATAGTGTCTCAGTGCTTGCTTCCTAGAGTTAACTCAGTAACATTACACTTCTCATAAATAACATAGAAGCTAAACTGTATTATTGAAAAGAAATAAGAAAACAGCTTATTTAAAACCCATGGACAATAAAACTTAACTGTACAGCCGAGCAAACCATATGAATCCCTGTTTTACATGTTAGTAGTCCTAATGCATGTTCATTTAACCAAAATCCCAAAACGTATTCAATTTAACCATTACTTCTGGAAAAATTAAAATAACTGTGTAAATCGTTCTTAGAAATACAGTAATAATTATATGTTTGATATTAAATCTTTTTTCAGAAGAACATCCTACTTTACAATTACAGTATAATACATTTCTATTACGTTTTAGGTTTAACTCAAGTTTTATTCTGACAAGCTTTGATTTAATTTTACTTTATTATAAATATGGAGCCAGATCACTCTCAAAAATAGCAGATTTACAAAATACAAGTCATGCATCCACAGCACTATTCACATTTACAAAATCCAATTTCATACATATCGTGCATATTTTTACCAAATGAAATGGATTTGTGTATTTACAAATCATGTTTTGAACTGACAAATTGGATTTGTGTATTTACAAATCATGTTTTGAACTGACGAATAGCATTTGTGTATTTACGAATCGTGTTTTGAACTGACGAATAGCATTTGTGTATTTACGAATCGTGTTTTAAATTGACAAATTTAGTTTATGCTTTTACGAATGGTGTTTTGAATTAGATTTGTGTATTTATGAATCGTTTTTTAAATTGACGAATTGGATTATTGAATTTTTTTAATTTATGAATTGGATTGAGCATTTACGAATTGTGTTTTGTGTAATTTTGTATCTTATTTTGAATTTAAGGCGAGGCAGTGGCGCAGTAGGTAGTGCTGTCGCCTCACAGCAAGAAGGTCGCTGGTTCAAACCTCGGCTCAGTTGGCGTTTCTGTGTGGAGTTTGCATGTTCTCCCTGCGTTCGCGTGGGTTTCCTACAGGTGCTCCGGTTTCCCCCACAGTCCAAAGACATGCGGTACAGGTAAATTGGGTAGGATAAATTGTCCATAGTGTATGAGTGTGTGAATGTGTGTGGATGTTTCCCAGAGATGGGTTGCGGCTGGAAGGGCATCCGCTGCGTAAAAACTTGCTGGATAAGTTGGTGGTTCATTCCGCTGTGGCGACCCTGGATTAATAAAGGGACTAAGCCGACAAGAAAATAAATGAATGAATTTTGAATTTACAAATTGGATTTTACTAATGTGAACTGTGCTGTGCATGTAGGAATTATATTTTGTAAATGTATTATTTTTGAGACTGAACTGGCTCCATACTGAAACGCCAGTAAAAATGAGCAGATTGTCCCGTCTCTCCAGGTCCATGAGCACAAAAACAGACCATTTTTTGGTCACAAACCACAAATATATGAGACGTCGAGCATTTCTGATCAGATCAAGTGCAAAACACACAAGGAGCACAAAGGCAGCAGAAGGAGGAGGACTCTTCATCTTCATTTGTAGTGTTCTTGTCATAGTTTCGTGGGTCTCTGCAGTCAGCAATGAAAGCCTGCAGCTCAGATAAAGGCGCTCCGTGCTTCTGATAGTGCTGAAGGGAAACAGAACAAAAACATTTAAAGTTTCTCATAACATGCACTGTAGCATCGGCCCCCTTCTTAAGCCTGATTTATACTTCTGCGTCAAACACCGGCGTATGCTACGGCGCTGACGCATAGCCCTTCGCCGTGGCCATCGCCGTCACTGACGTGCACCTCTCAAAAAATGTAACTACACGTCGCAACGACGCGTAGCGTAAGCTCTGTGATTGGTCGGCTTGGTAGCGCTGACGAGTCTGGGCGGGACCGAGAGGCGCGCGAATGGCGCGACGCCGCGCGAGCGATTGTTTACAAGTGTGGAGTCCCGTGAAGGAGCTCCGGATGGAAAGTTTTGTTTTGTGTTTACCTCATAGTTAAAGTTGTTGCACGTCCGCCGGTTCCTGCCTCAAAATGAGCGAGTTTGAGCCACTTGTACATCCCGGAAGTGTTCAGGAAATGCAAAAAAGTAGCGAAGAAACTTGACACAGAGGAACATTTACACCTCACTGCCAACTAGCGTTTCGGAAGTGTTAATGCAGAC